AGCATCTCACTGCTCATTTCTGTGTTGTGATGATGAATACAGTTCTAGAGCAGGGAAGCAAAGTGTTGCATTGGCAAATCACAGTGTGTAATCCATACATAACTCAGACACATAATTCAATACTGCTCTCATATGACTTGGTTGTGCTTGTCCTGCAAAGCTGAACAAAAATGGCTTTCTGCATTTGATGAGGGGAAGTGGGCAAAGGCTCACACACTTTCACTCATCTCAGAAAATAATCAGGGTAGGCTTTTTGTCTCTTTGAGTATCCTCTTGCTCTACTTCCAGGCTTGAGTATCACCCAGTCCCTATATTTCAAAGACAGGCCTCAGTGAAAAGATGGTGTACCTTGCCAGGGGATTTGTTCTTTTACACAGGTGTGTCATAATAGAAGTGTCCCCCTCCCTAGCTAAGCCTCTTCTTCCAGCAAACCGTTTAAGCTACTAATGTTCTTCTGGGAAAGGGCTGCTTACCCAACAAGGTGAAGATTATATGTCAAAGGTACATGCATGCAGCTCTGCAGTCTCTTCTGCAAACAGGCTTACGGATCAGTGTACTCACTGGGGAAGGTGTTGCCTGGATTGCACCAAACAAAATGGAAAATGGTTTTTTCCTTGCCCAGTAAAATCCACTTCCAGTCAAAAGCAAACAAAACAGATGGAAAAAAAAAGAAGAAGAAGAAGAAAAGGATCCTGCCCAAGGCTTCCATTTTGTTATCTACAAAGCGTGTGGGTTTTCCCTTCCATTAATGTGAGCCCAGCCCCTGGCTCTCTGCCTCCTCCCATGGCCTCTCACAGAGGAGGGGCAGCAACCACAAGTCTGACAGGTGCTAGCATTTTGACAAGGATAGGGGGATTCTTTTTCTGATGTTTTTCAATCTTCTAAGGGTGATTTCAATAGTCTTTGGTCTGTAGGAGGTCACAAGCTCCCCAAAGCCCTTCAACAAGGGCAGTTGCAGGCAAAGGAGCTTTCAGTCAGGATGCTTGCTTCCTCTGTAGTCTCACAAAGCCGATGGCACCCCTGGAGGAGCAGGGGTAGGGATTAGAGAAGCTCATTCTGGCTGGGGTAGCACTGATGAGTGTCAAGCAAATGGGAATCTGCAGGCTAACTCGTGTCAGTGTGGACTTGTGAATCCTTTATATAATTCTCTCCCAAGTAATTCTTATGCCCAGAGACCATACTAGATTCTGCAAACACAGAAACAAGTTAAGCTTTAGCCGCTTATTCTTTTAACTGAGCATGTGAAAGCAAGCACTGGACCTCCCAACACTTGTTGGGATGCCAGGTTTTCCTGTTCATGTGCAGGAGAGGGAGACCAGAACTGGAACAAGTGGGAGAGGTGGGTCTGATCTGAACTGCTTCTAATTTGTTAGATGCTTGTTGCTGCTACATTTTTGGTAACTGCTGCCAGTTTGTCTGTGTGCAAGAGTGGCTTTCCAGCCCCTCCTTCAGGACCAAGGTGCCAAGGCCAGAAACCAGATTTGTGTTCCCACAGAGCAGTATAAAGCTCTTTCCCAAAGCTACGGATTGTGGCAGCCAGGTCTCCTCAAAAACAAGAGTATTCCTCACTGCACTGTTGGTACACGTTACCCAATGTGCAGCATACTGCACATTGTACCAAACTGCCCAGGCTGTGGTAGGCAGTTCCCATCATCTAGGTGCTGACCTATCAGACCCTCCCATAGTTCCTGTGCAAGGTATTCACTACAGAATTAGTAAGGAGGTCTCTCTGAGAGCCTTGTCTTCCTGAGGGCTCTTTCTGAGCTTCCTTCTAGTGTTGTTCTACAGTGGTGATCAACCAGCTGCTCCAGTCCTGAACTACACCTATCTCTTTCATCCTGAATGGAATTTCAAATGTGAAAAGGAGCCTTGTGCTGAGGGAGGGTACCTGTTTATTAAACAGCTTTTTCCTTTCTTACCCAGGCAGCAAGCAACAGTAAAATACAGCTCATCCACCCCATGCTTCACATGCACCAGTCAGGGCTAATCTTCCTGAATTGCAAGGAAAGCGAGTCTCACACCTGTGTTTTGATCCCCAAGCTCAGTGCACCACAAGAAAGACAGGCAGCACAGAAGTCTATGTCTCCCTGGGTGGTATTATGTGTGCTTTAGGCTGTGGCACATACAACCTGTTACTCTGATAGCATCCGGCACTGACATCTACATATTGCAATTAGCAGGAGTGTGAAGCTGTCAGTCTACTCCCTGAGACAGTGTGCACTCAGTAGTTCTGCAAAGTCAATGGACCCTGCCATCTCTGAGAGCTTCAAGTTCTGTGAGAAACCACTTAGCGTGCCCCTGTTTGATCTGAGCACTGCTACTGTGTGAAGGATGGAGAATATGAGCCATCATTCTTTGTCTGCCCATGATCACTGAGGATTCATTTCTCTAGTGGATATGAGGAAGGGTTTTCTCTGTCTTCCAGAACAGACTTAGGATGATGAATTGAGTGATTTTCTTTAAGATTACCCCTGAATAGTCTAACTCTGCTGTAATATTTTCCTTGTTTGTTTGCTTGTTTCCAGGGGCTTTGCCAGATAAAGGAGATTTGTTTCTGGACCCTGCCATGGATCAGGAACTTGAGAAATTGTAAGTTGAGTTGCAAGGAGTAGGAAGTAAAACAACAGATGGAAAGTGGCATGTTGAGGATGGCTTCAGTAAAGTACTGTCTCTATTTATTTAACTTCACTGTAAGACAATAGAGATGCTAACACTGCAGCCCTAACAGACAAGGCCTTTTGTCGGGGTGCCTTGGTGCAGCTAACAAAATCCTTCAAAAAGACTTCAGAAGCATTGGGAAAAACTTGCTAAAAGAAGGATCTAGAGGTAACAGAAGAATCTCTAATGATCTGAGGCATTTTGTTTGGACAGTGAAAACAAGGGGTACTGGAGGACACAGGCCTAGCCAAGATGATCTCCTTTTAAAAGGAAGAAAAATTATTCACACAGCAAGTCTGGCAGGTGGTAGTGCAGTGTTCCTCCTCTTTGCCATAAATATCTTTCCATCTCTCAGCTAGCTGTGAGTAAGTAATCATCCCAAGTTTACTCCAAAACTGCTATGGTTAAGGCTGGAGATGACAAGCTAGGGTACCCACTTTAGCCTTTTCTCTCCTTTTTTTTTTTTCCCTCTCTTCCAGGGTAGCTCAGGTTTCAGGGCTTTCCATCTCTGCTCCCATGAGCTCCAGCGGGGACACTGCTAATTTTCATGTCCGTAACTCTCCCAGGATAAACTCTCCCTGGAAACCACTGCATCATCGCCGAAAAATAGATGCTGAAAGTGAAGGCTCCAATGAAGAGACAGATTCCTCTGAAAATTGAAGGTTGTGAGGGTGGGAACCTTTCTCACCCTTGGTTTGTCCAGAGCTCACTGTAGGTACAGCATCTCTTCCCGGAGCATCTGCTCTGACAGTGGGTTCTGTTCACATCACGAGTGTGTGTGTGGCTGTGCCAGTTCCCATTGCCAGGTCCGCCTGTTCCTTCCCAGCAAGAATGCTGCTGGTTTCCTAGATCCGAATTTGTGCAGTAGCTCCTCCTCAGAAGCTATTTCCAGATGCAGTTATGCTACCCTCTGCTGGCAAGTAAGACAAACGAGCAGATGCTAGATGCCTGTACTTGGAAATAGCAGGGTGTTCTCACCAGGGATCTCACACAGTTCAGCAGGTGCTGGAGCAGTGGGAGTTCTGGTGCAGGCTGATTGCCAGGTAGCTGTGTTTAAACTTGACCTAGACAACAGACTGGTTAAATTGCCAGCAGCAGCTTTGCATTCATGCTCCATTATGATTATTCCTAGTAAAGCTGCACCTGCATGTGATCAAAGGTGGACAAATTCCTGAAGTTCCTCAAGTAGAAGGGCTTAGGTATTGCCATGCTGCCTGTCGCTGCTTCCTCCTCTCTGAGTCCAAGACATGCCAAAGCAAACATACCAAATAATAAGCAGGATTTCAGTGGGTACTGCATGCTGCTGTCTGGCTCTTCTGCAATCCCTCACTGGGAGGCCTCCCCCTACCTCCAACAAGCTTAACATGCTATTTGGCAAAAGGGAACTTTGGAGGGGGTGGAGGAGAGAGATGAAGTCTTGAGATTGCTTCGCTACAAGCAGTGGCATGGCCTGCAAATATGTAGGGCACCTGCTGGTGTATGGCAGGCAGAAGCACTGGGGAGATGGAGGCAGGTTTTAAGTCCTAGATATTTTTGTAAATATTGGTATTGCAGCACCACAGTGTGGCACGAACAGCTACAGAAGGAGTTGTAACTTCATTGTGTTAATGGTAATGCTAACTCCACAGCCTGGATGCTGCAGCCCTGAACCCTTCCCTAGCTGCGCTCCTGTGCTATGGCTTGCATAGACTGATGAGACACTGGTTTCTTATGAGTCTTGGGGAGCCTCCTTGCTCTTCCCTCCCATAAAACACTACATGGCATGGGCTACTAACAGCTGTTAACCCAAAGCTTATTGCTGCCCTAAGCTGACTGGATTCAGCACATACTGTAACTATTTTAAGAGTAATCCCTTCACTACTGCTGACCTAGCTGTGGAGGTAGTGGGAGGTGTTATTTATTTATTATATTATTTATTAGCATGCCCTTTAACTGCACGTTCACTCCCACCCACCAAGTGACAACCAAAGCTGGAGAATAAAGCCTGCTGTGTAAGGTCTCCACCATCTCTGGGCTCTTCTGCGCTGCTCCGTGCCCTCCCCAGGGCTCACTCTGCCTGCTCCCCTCTCAAGCCTCTGTCTGCCTCCAGCCACGTGGTGGGGAACTGAGGTGAAGGCAGAGGGAAGCTCAGGCCTCTCCCACTCTCCAGGCAGCCATATGGCTTCACCATGCAGGTAGAGACAGGGCAGCTGCTGAGGCAGCAGGACTTGCTGGTCCCGCAGCCCCTCTGGCTCCCACCACACAAATCTGGCCCAGGTCTATGAAAAGATGGCACAAGGTTGGGACTCAGCCCTGGAGGAGGTTTGTTGATGGGAACCCACAGAATAAAAAGACCCAGCCTCTTGTTTTGCTAATACAGTTATTTTTCAACTGTAGAGCACTTAATAGGGGATAAAGGGCTATTCCATCCTCAACTGCATAGTCAAAGATACCTGAAAATAGCTCTTGTTAAAAACACAGTCAGGAGCAAAGAGTCAACCTGAGCAGGACAAAAATAACAGTCCTCATGCAGCCCCCCTCACCCACAACACACTTCGGTTAAGTCAGAGGTCAGGATTTTTCTCTCTGTCCAAGTCTGGAAGTAAAGTATAGCTGAGCAACACACTAGCCAGCAAACATCCTTACCATACTTCAGTACCTGGGACTTTGCTGTTGTTGTTGATGTGATTAGAAGCTAAAAAAATAATCTTTGCTTTGATTTGTTCTCCTGCATCAATACATGCTGGTTTACAAGACAATAGGAAAAAATCACCCCATGGTACAAAGCAGACCCTGAAAATATAGAGGAATCCGTGACACCATGGACTACCATGCACACTAGAACCTTGCAGTTGAAAATGTCTTACCAGTGATGTGAACTGCAACAGCAGCCTGCGTGGAAACAGGCAATAGAAGCACTGAGCAGAACAAGAAACCACAGTCATGTCCATGAGGATCAGGTAACACCACATTCAGAAATACAGCATCCCCATTTCCTCTATAACATGGTGAGCTAAGGTATGGGCTAAGAAGGATAGCAGCACTGATGAGGGCAGCCACAGGAGTTCCCATCTTATCTTTCACAGCAGGGAGATTATCCCAGTCTCCACTGGCTAGTAAGTAGCAGTGGGTTGAGGGCACATTGAATTTTAATGCAGTGTGGAATCCAGAGATATTTGGAAAGCATCTTGTGCACAGCCACATGCTGAACCCTTCTGCTTTCCTTCTCCCTTCCCCACCCACCCCAGATAAACTAAGACAATCCTGCAGAGTGTACTCCAGGCAAAAGTGGCATCAGTGCCTCTTGCTGGCTTCCCTGTGAGTTGCAGTCCTTGGGTCATCAATATGAGCCATAACGATCCTGGGGAGGAAACACACCAAGTCACCATGCTGCAACACTGCACCAACTCTTAAGAGGCAAACAACAAGGTCTTAGGGTGTTTGGGACTGGAACACAAACAAGAGATAAGAGATCAGTGAAAATTTACATCAAGACAGAAAACATGCCAAAATAAGAGGTAAAATGCACTCAAATTTTAAGTTCCACCCAGGATTTGTGTGACATAACAGACATAATATGACAACCTGTCCAGCAAAAGTGTAAGGCTGTCCAAGTAGTGTTCACTGGCCACCTGGAATTGCTCAGTTATTAAGTCCTCAGATACAAAAGGTGCATCTGTACCTGGGACTTTCCATGCAATCTGAGAAGACACTGGGACAGTAATCCCAGTGGAAGTCAAGATATGGTTAAAGCACCTGAGCATGACTAGAGCCTACGTGAAGGTACTGTTGCATAACCTCACCTGGAGGGAGTTCATCACTCCATTGGCTAGGACGGCCATCTTGCCAGCAACTGTCTTCACTCCTTGCTTAAACTGTGCGATATCAGCAGCAGGCAGAACGTTTCCAATTGATACACCACCTACGAGAAGCAGCACAAGTAAGACTGGAATTCCCCAGCACCAGAGAGCACCCTGACCCCTCCCCAGTCTAGGTCTTCCAGAGCTGCCTTCACCCCCCCCCTCCCCAGCATCAACGAACCTGAGTGTGCATTCTCAGCCTCCCCAAACAGGTCTGCGGAGCTGATAGCACTGCTGCCCGAGAGCTGCTGTAGTCGGGACCTGGCTTCATACTGCAGAAGAAAGGACAAAAAATGTAAAGGAAGGGTACAACCTGTGCAAACAGGGGAAGATGAAGCCAGAGCTGTATCAACTTAAGCACTGTAGAGTGCATGTACCTCAGCATCTGCTTCCCGCCCAAAGAACATATCTGAAGAGATGGCTTTAGCTCCTGCAAATTTCTGCCGAGCTTCATTAGATTCCACAACTGATGTCCTGTTCTCCATATCCCGCCTACTGGTAGGCCTGAGGACATAACAGAAGATAGCTTAAACTCACCAAATCAGTAAGAGAAGACTTCTCTCTCAGATCCTATCTGATCAAAGAAAAGCAACAAAGCCCCAGGCACTAGCTACTATCAGGGATCTCCTCTCCCCTCTTCAGGGCAGTTAAATTTGATGACTATAAAGACTGGGATGCAACAGCATAGAAATGAATGAGTCTTTCAGTGAAGGCTCATTTTCTCAGGGTCATTTATGCATGTTATCTTCTGCACTACAAGGCTCAGATACTGTCAAAATACAGTAGCATCTCTCCTACAGCTCTTACACCTATACCTTAGTCTTACACAAAGAAGATACAGAAGCAGTAGTGGTTGGTTTACCTCTCTGAAATTGGCCGAATACTGGAAACTGTCACCTCTGATTCCTCGTCTTTGTCCATACCCCATGAAGAGTCTGTTTCCCATCGTGAGCCAAAGGCATCTTCAAATGAGAAGGGATTATATTTGTACCTAGATACCAAAAATGGGTAATTTAGGACCGATGTTGTGTCTGGGAATAAGCCAATGACTACACTGAATCTCAGTCTTACTTGGGGGGTCCAGATGTGAAGCCTCCACCATCTTCAAATAAATCCAATTGGGAGCGGGAAGACTTTGCAGCCAGTGGCGTCTCCTGCTCAATTACTTGCATCTCAGACATCACTGAGTGTGAAACAGAACTAGCACAAGAAACAGGCAGTTAGGGCTGAAAAGTATGACTGCTTCCAGCTGCTACACCCTATATCCCTCAAAACTGAACATCGCCTTTACAGACAAAGCAAGTGCCACAAGCCTAAAGTGAGAGCTGTGGGAAACCTTCACCACATATCTGGCTTGACTCCCTTAGAAGTTCCAAGTCATCTTCTTAAAGGCGATAGGAGGACATATCTGCCTACACAGGGACATGTGTCAAGCAGCAAGGCTCTAGAACTAGGCACTCACCAGCCATAATCACCTTTGGAAAAGCTCAAATGAGAACTAGAACCTTTGAACAGGTTCCATTCCTTCTGGGGCCCAAAGCGTTTTTAGACACAGTCCAGCATACAAGCTCCTTTTGTACCACAGGAGCAGCAAGCTACTGCTCAGGAAACTGTTCCAGAGCAGGGCGGTTCCAAAGCACCTCCATCTATCCTATGCCATTCACAACTGTACCTTCTTGACACCAAGCCCATGCCTAGCCTCTCCGCTTGTTCACGCTTCTTCCCTTCAAGGTTTTGAAGCTTTTTCTCTTCCTTCTTTCGATCAAGCTGCAGTTCCTGATAAGCCAGTCGCATTGAGGTGACTCTAAAGGAAAGAAGTGTGGTGAGATCCAGCTCTTTACCCTCTCCCTCAGCCCAGCCTACACCGTAAAAGGGCAAAACTATCCTGATAACCCTTCAAAACACCAGCTGCCACAACAGCTCAGACGAAAATCCTTTCACAGAAGCTTGTCATCCCCCTTACTCTGAGATAAAACTCTTTTCTAGCCAACTTTGATTTCCATGGTGTAGGCATTGCTTCCCCACCCCCAGACATAGGTACAGGAACACCTCATCCAGTTCGGCCTTTTGCTTCCTCAATCTTGTCCCAAGGTCAACAGAAAAAAAATAAAATCAAATACTTCCACATCTGCTCCTTAAACTCTTCCAGAGGTAGAAGTTTTCGCAGAGGTATAACTTTTGCCTTGTTATAAGGACCACTTTGGCTTACGGTTACTGCTCATCCTACTATGCAGGATGTTTTCATATCAGGTGGGCCTAGAGTGAATAGCATCAGCCACATTACCTCTGATTTACGTATGAAAGGTATTCAGAACAAACAGGGCACTTACATGGACTCCTCGGCTTGTTTCCTGGACTCCACTGCCTGCTGCTCCCTCAGCTGCTCTGCCACCTGAGCTTGCCGCTCAATCTCATTGAAGCTCTGGCTACTCACTTTCTGGGCTCCAAGACCTTTTTTGGCACCCAACTTAAAAACAAACAAACAACAAAAAACCCACATAAAAGTCAGTCTCCCTGTGTAGGCACAGTACTGCCTGCAGCAAAACATGGAAAAACACACAAGAGTTAACCCTCCAGCAGCAAGTGCTAAGAGATCAGCCACAGTACATTCTAGACCATAACAAGTAATGATCCAAAGCCTATTTTTTTTCTATTAATATAAAAGCTATCTTTTGAAAGAGGCAATGAGATAAAGCTCTGCCTTCCCTACATGTATCTCTCAGTAGGCAGCATGGTTAAGGGCAGAAAGGAAGGGCTCAGGGAAAGGACAGCGGTAATACGAGATGTGCTCTGCTGCCTCTCCAGAAAATAGGAGCTCCAACATACCCCTTTCTTGGCAGCTCCTGGCTTCTTCTTTCCAATGAGGGAGGATTTCAGTTCTGCAAGAGAAGCAAAGCGCAAATAAGCAGAAGTGAATTATTTTAAGAATCCAAAATAAACCAGGAACCCTCACAAACATCCACCACAGTCCAGCTGCTATAGAATCCAGGGCACACCATGCAGCTTCACGTAAGACTTCACTCAGCCAAGAAAAATGCACTGAAAAGCTTCACCTTTGCAGGCCGGTGACCTGGAGAAGCATATCCATCCCTGGAGAAACTTGTAAGGCCTTCAAAAAGAGCCTTCAAGTGTCATGTGGTTGGTGACCCTATCTGGTACAATCAGTGCTAGAGAGGCACTAGATATACTTCATACATAAATCCAAGAGAACACAGCTTCAAAGCCATTTAAAGCTCAGTGTCTCACCAGTGCCTTAGGAACAAAGAAGCAAGAACCCTAAAGCTACATTTACATGTACCACCAACAAAATGGACCTAAAATGCACTGTGCTATAGAAGCAACGGATTTCTCAACACCTTCTATCAGAAAGCTGTCAATATGAGGGGATAAGGCACACCATGCCTGTAAAAACAGCCAAGGTCCAGCCAAGCAGCAGATGTCTGTGGAAAAAGTGTAAGAACAAAGCAAGCATAAAGACTGATTTCCTATGACACTTTTCCAGCTTTTAACACTGCATAGTTCCATAATCTGATTGCCCTTGTTGGGCCTTTCTTCCAAAAGTGTCTCCCTACTTCCTATACCCACATGACTTTTGTCAATCCACACTTGAGATACTGGAAAGGCTGTTGAGAATGACCTTTCTCATGATAAAATAAATTTATCATAATTCTTTAAAATAGTGAGATGAATGTCCCAAATCCCCTACCTGATACTATTTTCAGCTCACCATTTATAACTTCTTTGATTTTATTACTGTCAGGAAATGCTTTTTTTTTTTAGTAAGATCCCTTTCCAGAGAAACAATATTTAGCATAGATCCCAATATGATACACATAAGCTTTGGCTCATTCTCTCCCTCTAAGCAAAAGAAGCTGAAGTTAGATTTGAAGGCAGAATCACAAAATGGGCAGGCAGAATTGTGACAAGCAGCCAGCGCAGGCCACCTGTTAGCCAGTTACCTCTGGCAGGAGCAGGCTCCTGTGGTGACAGGTACATGGACATGTCTGAGAAGAAACAAATATGGGGAATGAATAGACACTTAAGGACATAGTCTTTCCACCCAGGATGAAGCCCACTGTGGGCTATAAGCATACTCTTGATAAGAAAAGCTCCGCAAGATGCTTTGTGCAGACAGGAGAGCAATGGTTGGGACAATCAGATATAAACTCCTGTTACTCAGCAAGCTAAAGATTTACTTGCTTCCAAGTTTCCGGAGGAAAAAGCAAAACAAAACACAAAACAGCCATGTGGCCTTGATCAGCCAAATTCCAGATACACAAATACCAAAAGCCCCAAAATGAAAACAAACTTCAGAGATGAGATATCCTTGAACTCAATCACCCAAAGGAGCAAGATACCCTCCAATAAGCTGTGGATTGTTGTGGCGATTTACAGAAATCCTCAGTATTGCTTCCAAAGGAAGATAAAAGCTCCTTTCAACATTCTGAAAATAGGTTCATTGTTTCCAGCTCCACTAAGCTTACTGCTGAGCAGCAGGTGTAACAGCAAGACTCATCTGAGATCCTAAAGAATCTTACTTACCTATAGGAGCTTTAGGAGATGTGCTCAACAAGTCAATAGATGGGCCTTGGCTTGGATCTACAGGCACAAGAACAGGAGAGTACATTCAGAGATCATAGAATCATATCATAGAATGGCCTGGGCTGGAAATGATTATCTAGTTTCAACCCCCCTGCTGTGCAGGGTCGCCAACCTCTACATCAGGGTATCCAGAGCCACATCCAGCCTGGCCCTGAATGCATCCAGGGATGGGGGGAGGATCCACAACTCTGCAGGCAACCTGTTCCAGTGAGTCACCACCCTCTGTGTGAGATACTCTTAATTCCTTTATTCTCACAATGTGATAGTTTCACTATCTCTCTTCTAAGTTCTGTGCCCCGCAGCAACCAAACCAAACTAAGTTCCAGCTTGAAAGCTGCAATTTCCCAAACACAACTACCTTAGATCTCCACACAGCAAGTTACCCACTCTGCAGTGGCCTCAACATGTTAAAAGAAAGAAAACACTCTGAAAGTGAATACACAAAGCTGTTTCAAATTACTGTCATGCTCCAGATTCTTGTTTTCTTTGTAACTTATCTTAGAAACAGTTTTCTGCTTTATGTTCACATGCCATTTTCAGACAGCACACAGAGCTTCCATTTCTTCAAACCTGAAACAAGCCTTTCCAACAGAGTACAGGACTGTACTCCCCTGGAAATTAAGTCAGGTTCTTGAGAACATTATTCAGCAGAGAACTCACGTGCTGCTTCACTGCTTTCTGATGACTTTGGTGCTTTTTCCATGTCCAAGGAAGACTGTGCAGGATTCTGGCTGGCATCTGCTACATCCCAGGTTCTGGAAGACTGTAAGGAGATAATCACTCTACTGATTTGCAGAGGATGAATACATCTAACAAGCCTAAACTTACTTCTAGTTCAGATGCCTTTATTCAGCTTAAAGTCAAGAAAACATGTTCCAAACAACAGACTATGTCCTCACTGAAGATAACCCTACATTCCTTTACTGAGATTATATATATATAAAAGTAAAATGGAATACCACAAGGAATAATAGAGTATTGTACAAGCAGTTGGCCAAATCCACTTCCACTGGAAAGCTGACTAAACCAGATGTTCAAAGTAATAGCCAACCCTTGCTTTAACTGTCCAAAGAGACTCTGTGTTATCCAGGGAGATTCCCTGAAGATAAAGATGTTCTCAAAGAGAAAAGGCATGGGTACTGAAAACCCATATAGAAATATTTATACCTGTGGACTATATTCCAGACTGATGACTGAATCTTAGTTGTTCTGTGTTACTGCTGAATGTGTATACAGTTTAGAATCCTTCTCAACTAAGCAGAACTGCTCCTACTGCCACTCCAGGCTGGACAACCAGCTGGCCACCTGAGAGCTGTTAAAGCTGTCTGGTGTAAGCAATTCTTCCCACCTGTGTGTGCTCCATGAAGAAATCAGCATCACTCTTGTCAGGGGAATGCCCAGGGGCTCCACTGAGTCCATCTATGAGCAACTGAAGAGAAGAGAGTTAAAAAGAAGCTATCCTACAAGACTCAGCATGAAGTGCTACATGTCTAACTGTAGAGAGCTGCTTAGACTTACATCAGTGCCATACTTGGCCATGGCAGCACTTGCCAGCTGCCGGATCTTCTCCCTGTACATCTGGGCAGCTCGACTGTTATACTTAGCATTGGCATCTGTTGTAGTGCAGCCATGCTGGCGGAAGAAAGCAGTCTGAAATGAGAAGAACATTCAGTCTCCTTGCTGCTACGTGATACTCAAGTAGCAGTTAGACATGACACAAACACTACAGGAACAAGAAGCTTCCCAAAGACAGGAGATATAATACTCCGCACATGGCATGAAGCTTGCGCTGATCAGCTCAGCTTTCCTCAAGAAGTCTCATCCAAACCCCAGAGGGATGTGAACAATCCCTTTCATTCCCAGAGGAATGCTTTTGTCACCATGCTGAACAAGAGCTTCCCAACTGATCAGTGTTACTAACTCCTTTTGTTTAAGAGGACTATGCCTCTCATTTAAAGAAGATGTCAGGAAATGACTGATCTGCATGCCAGAAAACAATACATGCAGAGCTCACAGGCTGACTTCCAAGTGCACCTGACAAATGCCTGCCCTCATTATACATTTCAAGAAAACAAGAGAAAGAAAAGAGAGAGAAAGGTTGGTACCCAGAAAGCCACACAAAAGAAAGGGACAAGAAACTGAGGATGTGAATTAGCAATGGAGAAAATAAGCAAAATGCCTATGGAAGTTCCTCACCGCATTGGCATTGCTGCCCACTTGCATACATCTCAGCTGGAACCAGTTCCAGTTAGAGTCGAGCTCTGTGGACCTGCATGAAAACAAATTACTGCTATTAATGATAGGCAGGCGTGCCAAATACAAAAGCACGCTCCAAGCCACAACAGTCAGAGATCCCATTTCTGTTCCACCAGAGTACAGGAGGCAAAGGGGGAAAGCACATCTCAGTGAATTATCAGGAATTAACCCGAACTTTTAAAGCAAGGAACAAAGTTAGCTTCAGCTTCATACTAAATAACATGGCACCCAAACTGAGAGGGCGTCTCACTGGTACGGCTTGCTGAGAGGTGGGGCCTGAATCAGGAAAGCTTCCGTTCCACATCTGATCTCACCACAGCACAAAGACTCGTGCTCGGCCCACCCCTCCGATCAAGCCAGAGCACATGACAAAGCAGCCCCAAATGGTCAAATGGAGCAAGGGCACGACATGTCTCTTAGGGTTACTTGACTTATCTCTGTATGAGCAACGATCACTATTCTGTTACTCAGAAAGTTTTTACAGGTACAGAAAATAAGAGCAGTGGACGAAAATCCAAAACCACCTTCCCCTCTGGGCTAAGTCAGAAAAGACTGAATAACATTCCTGCTAACAACACTCCTCTTTTTGCTTTGCTCAGCGTTACAAAACACTCAGACTGTTTTACTAACGACATTCACACACCACGGTCTCCTTTCAACTTCTTCCAAATCCGGACGCTGTTATGCGACCCAGGGGACACAGCACGCCGCTGTCCTGCCCACTGACCCGCGGCTCCCCGTACGCAGACACACGGCGCGAAGCCACCACTTGGAGACGAAGCTTTTCTCCGACGGAACCCCAACCCCGCAGCAAAACGCAGCACGCCGGCCCGCTCCCACACACCTGATGAAGCTGACGTGCACGCCCAGGGAGCGGTGGACGCCGGAGCAGTCGATGCACAGGAAGACCCCGTAGGTAATGCTGGCCCAGCTCGGGTTCTTGGCGCCGCAGTCGAAGCACGACTGGAGGGGCAGAGGGACGGCCGGGTTGGGCAGAGCCCTCGCCTCGCCCCGCGGCCGCTCAGCCGGGCCCCAACCCCGCCGCCCTGACTCCAGCCCGCAGATTACCGGCCCCGCCGGGAACCGGAGCGCCCTCCCGGCCCCGCCCGCTACCTTGTTGGCCGGCGCCGCCCGGAGCCGCTTGAAAAGAGTCTGAATCTCCGTCTTGCTCGGTTCCGCCGCCATCATCTCTCCTTCCCACACGCCACTGCGTCGACGGGTCCCGGCAGGGCCCAACAGGCGGAGGAGCGAGCGGGGCTACGGGAACCGCCCGAGCTCAAACCGGCACCGGGACGGGCCGTCCCCAGGCCGCCGGCAGGGGGCGCGCTCCCGGCTCATGCGGGGATGGGCGGTCCCGATGCCCCGGCTCGGGGCCGCGGTAGCTGCGAAGCCCCGGCGCCTCGAGGCGCCTCGAGGCGCGGCGCGCGGCTCTCGGACCCCCGCAGAGCTGCCGGAGCGGCCGCTGCCTGAGGGAGTCGGGGGCTGTGCGGTGTCCCCGCGCTGAGGCCGCAGCCGGAGAGTGATTTAGTGAGCGGGAAGCGCGGCCTGCTCCTCAGAGCAGCGCGGGGCGGTGATCCAGGTAGGGAAGGGCTCCCTTCAGATCAGGCACTGTGTCAGGGCCTTACCGTGCTCAGTCATAGACCGGCGCGTCGTTGCGCTGCAGTGCGAGAGTAGAAGATGTGGTTGTGCTTTGTACTGTGTGTCAGTGGCAGAGAGCCCCTTTCGCACCGAAACAAGGGAAAACAAGCGACTGCGGAGCAAGGACAGCAGGAGCTACCGGCTATCATGGCACTGCTGAGCTGGAGCAGAACGCGCCTCCTTTCCTTCCTTCCAGAAGGAGATCGTTTGGTCACACCAGTCTGTTGCTAGCAGTAAATGTGGAAGTATCTGGACAAGGCAGCTCTCAGTTTACATTTAAAGGTTTCCATGTCACTTATTTCTGATTTTTCCACTGATATGCAAGATAGATCGTAGAATTAATTGCCGTGGGAGCCCAGGATGCATGATCTTAGCAAGGTCTGTAAGGTTTGAGGATGTAAAGATAAAACCAGGTACAACTGAAATGTTCAGCAAAAACTCCTGCAGAGCAAGGCTCAGCAGGAGTGTTGAGTCTTGTGTTCTGGGACTCGGCAGGGGCCAAGCTGCACAGTCAGCTGGGACCTGGTACAGAGATAGGCTGCTCTGCAGTAAGACAGGAGGCTTCTGCACGCTCATCTGACTCGAGCTGCCCCAGGACAAGGTACTGAGGCTGGCAGCAAAGCTAGATGCAGCCTGGCAGGGCACGTCCTTGGCTGCAGCCCTGCCTTGGGCAGCCCCTGCAGTGTGTTGCTCTTACTCTGCTACCTTGGTTGCTTCTGTGTGCCCATTTCTGGGGTTACACAAGCAGTACTGGGGAATCAATTCAGGTAAAAGTAACTGATAGCTTTTTGTCACAGTTATTTTTAAACCATCTGAGTTCCCTGATCCCATTCATGGTGCAGCTGTTCTCGCAGTCATACCAGGAAAGCCAGTGTTGAGTGTTGCAAGAGCTGGCTGTGCCCTGGGAAGAAGAGAGCTGAGGGCAGCTCCCATAGGGCTGTGCCTTCATCAGCCATTACTCATCTCCACAATACCTGAGCATGGCAAGCAGAGCAGGCATTGCCAGGGTTGAGTTGCTTACTCCACCTTGTCCCCATCTACTGTGCTGCAGTGTGATGCTGCTCTCCTCCTGCACAGGCTTTATTCTGGTGATGTCTGTGTTTGGCTGCCTGAGGGATGAGTTGTGCAGGAATTAGGAGGGACTGAGTCTATTTGCAGTGCTGTTACCACTGTTTGGGGCTTATGAAAGAGGAATGGCTTGTACACAGGAGGAGCCAAGGCAATCTTTGAGGTCTGTAGCTCAGTATCACACATTGTTTCTGCCTGTCTGTGCTAGAAGGCATGTGGGGGGAGTGCAGGCTCTGCTGTTCTGTGAAGGGGTACATGGTTTGTGCTCATTGTGCTGTGACCCAGAAGGCTTGCCTACAGCAGGGTTATTTAAGCTGCTTTGTCTCAGCCAGGCCCCTTGCAAGCCTTCCAGCCCACGCTGGTTGCTCCAAGTCCTGGCAAGGCTGCTGATCCTGTCCGTCAGTTTTACATAAAAGAAGCAGGAAGAGTATGCTCCTGCTCTGAGAAATAGTCAGCTTCTTTTTGTTGCCACTTCCAGTACAGGAAAGACCTCCTGCTGCTGACTCTTCCCTGTGAGCATGTGCTGTCACTGCACAGTTCTTGCTATTTCCTGCATCTGTTTCTCTTGCATCTCATGTGCTTTGCTGTTGAATTTCTGAACAGCTAGCTGGCATCCTGTTCTTCGGCTTTCAGCTTTTGTGTCCATCCACATCATGTGTAAAATTTGCCTCTTTTCTCCTGATTGCTGTGACACCAGACCCTGAGCCATTTGTAGTCTCCTAATGAGAGATGGTGCTGTTACCAATGTCAGTTAGTGACAGTCTCCAGCATAATGCAATAGAGCAAAGGAAGGTAACCAGGCACATTCTTGGAGTGTGCCATACTACTGGGACAGTTTTTCAGCACAGAAGTCTTGTTGCTTGTGAGTGCAAGGTTACTGTGGAAGGAAAAGTGGCAGAGAGAAAACCCAAGGGCCCTGCCTGAGAAGCAGGGGATGTGTCAGATGAGAGCTGGAGAAGCTCAGGGGTGAAGTGCCACAGTGGGTGTAAAACCTGCCATGCACTTGCAGGTCTAAGCCAAGGAGAGTAGAAGGTGACCCTCTGGAGACCCATCTGGAAGCAGGGTGACAGTGGGGAGAAGGGACCTAGCTGTCTTCTACTGCCCTCCAGCTTGTGAACCAGAATAACTGTGAAGAAGAGGGAGGGCATGCCTCCTGCCGTCCTACTTGGACCCATCGGCCTCTCAAGCTTTTGCTGAATGAGGAAACTACCTGAAAAAGAAGTGGGAGAGACAGTGTCCCATGGGTCACAGTGTGAGTGGTGGGGTATCAGGAACCTAGTGACGTGTGGAGAGAGGAACAACGCTTAAAACAGGGTTGCCAAATATAGATATATATTTGGTTTGTTTTTAAACAGCCAGTTTACAGATACTGGGACCAGTCTGCCAGTGTGCCACACAGAATGTAAATAGTAGCTGTCTCTGTAGGAAAAAGTGCTGTACGAAGGCCGGCAGTCCCATCACATGCTGACTCCATACAGTGCTTGTAGGAGATTTAAGATAAGGAGCTATTATGCTACATGTAGAGTGAATATTTTGTTAAGGTTTACAACTTAGGCAGTTTTACTGCAAATCAAACAAATGTTGTGGTTTGGAGAGAAGCCAGCAAGGGTAGAAGAAGCATACAAATTAAGGAGCACAATAGATGAGTAACTCCAGAGGTACTGAGAAGCAGAGTAATGGCTTGATCTGGTTTGGGGGTGTGCTGCAGCCAGAAGGGGTCCTGCTGCACATGCTGTCCCTTGCGCTATTCTGACAAGTGGGTAACCATGGTCTGAGTCACAACCCTAGCCCTGCCCTAACACCAGCTGTCCTTGCTTCGCTGAGCTGATTGCTCTTCCTCCTGGAACTTCCAGGAAGGTTTGGAAGGGTGGAGAGCACTGTCTCTATCAGTTGTGTCAGCTGATGTTGCTGGGCTGCCTGGCAGAATGGCTGAGGCTTGATGGAGTGTGTAACTACAGCATGAGTCTTGACTGCTGCTCTAACCTAGTTGTTAAGTAACTGTATGTATGCGTGTACATGTTACGTTTTTATGCTTTGCTTTTGTAACCCTATTTCCAGTATTGTTGTTGAATATTTTCAAACACACCGTTTGAAAATAAATCTGTGAGTGGCATGACATGCTGGGGATCTGGGAGGCTCTGGGGATGCCCCAAAGCAAAGGAGAGCTGGCAGATGTCGTCAGGGGAAGGGGAGGGGGACTGGGAATGTTTCATACCTTGCTGTAGTGGTCATTTTGGAGATGTGCTATAACAGTTGTCCTTGCTTGGAGCAGGCTGCTTAGCAGGTGTCAGTCACAGTGTGTCCTGTGGCTTAAAGTCATGCTCACCACACCATGTGGGAACAAGGTGGGCAGACTGGGCAGTCAGCAGGCTCTGAGCTGTCTTGCTATGAACAAAGTCAGAGAGAGAGTAAAGCCCCAAGGCTGGTTAGACGTAGGGTAAGCCTTTCGCAGTGCTGGAGAAAGCCTGGAAGGCAGAACAGAAACACTGCTTTCTGCAGCAGCCCCCTATGCCCCCCACACTCCTCTGTGTGATGGATGAACTGCAGCTCTGCTGCTGCAGCAGCTTCCAGAGCTTGGAGTTGCTATAGCCCCCTGAGTGCAACCAGTTCAGCTGGGCTGGGACAGCAGGGTAAAGGCAGGAGAGTGGCTCAGGGGAGAGAGTGAGGAAGGCTGATTTAGATGCCCCTGCCTTGGCTGTCTGTTTTGGCAGCCAATGGGCTTGCTTCTTTACCCACTCACCCAAGGTTGCACTGTGCCATGTATGTTTGCATATTTATTAATCACTGGCTTAACTGTTCTCAGAGTGACCCACAGTTTTCTGCCATACAGGAACCATCCAGGAAGCAATTCACACCCTTAGGTTCCCCCAAAATACAGCAGCAGTTGGTACCAGCAAGGCTGATTTTCTGGCAGACATCATTCCTGTCCTAGCTAACAAGACATGTAAAAAAATGGAAGTGGTACCAACACAGTCTCCTAGCAGAGGTGCAGACCTTCTGCCTCACTGCAGTCATATAATCTCTGTCTGCCTAAAGCATGACAGATCTATAGCACTTGGCTCTGCTGTTCCATGGCTGCAGGCTCTTAGCAGACATGAGAGAGCACTTCTGGAAAACTACCTGAGCCCAGAGGCCAGGGAGGGTATGGGATGCAAGAGGGGAATGTATTACAAAAAATATTTGCTGGCTTACTGGGAAAATATGTTGGGTCTTCCATAGACCTGGAAAGGGGAGGAAGCTGCAAGAAGGCCCTCAGCTAGATCCTATAGCAAGGCAGGGTGCAGTTGTAACATCTGTCTCCCAGAAGGCAGTCATTAAATCTCTCAGCCATTAGTCATAAGACAGATGTAAGACACATGCTCAGCCTTTTGAGGTGGTTAATAAATAGAACAAGGTTTGCTGTATCCAGAGCTATTACTGAGTTGCAGGAAATGGGGAAACTAAAAATGAGTAGTGGAGAATGACAGAACAGTGGACTGGTGTGTGCCTTGTATCACGTAGCATTTCATCTTATAAATATGATCAGGTTCGGTGGGGAGCTTGGATCAGAAAGGATGAGAACCAGAGAGAGCCTGCAGCAGGTTGCATCTGAGTGACATTCCCTTGGTAGACATTCTCTTGAACATGAAGGAAAGAGGTACAGCTAGGATGATGGGGAATAGAATTTCCTTAGGGAAGCTAATTACAAGGCCTTGCACAGAGCAAAGACCAAAAAAATCTTTCAGGTGGATGAAGAGACGAACATACCCTCTGAACCCAAAAGGGATGGGAATCTATCACCTTCTCTGATGGGAAAACAAGGCAGCCTGCCAAGGAAGGGAGAGTATTTTCCAAGTCTGTTTCCCCTCAGATTACATAGGAGCAGGTGGTCTGTAGGGTTTGTAGCTGCTTCCTTATTGTTCTTCATAGGTCATGGTTTCATGAGCTTTTCCTACTTCAGCTTCCTGTGTTCTCTGTTGCAGGTGTCTGTTGAGCTCCAATACCAGCCCTGAGCCTTCAGTGCCTTGGCAGGCAGTCTGCATGCTGGGGACAGAGTTCCAGTACTGTTTGATGCTCTTTGGAACAGTGCCACTGGAGAAGCAGATCCATTACAACCTGTGGTGTGCAAAGTCTGGCTTTGGAGCTGGGGTATACAGTGCAGACAACGTGTCAGTGATTGGAGTAGTCTTCCTGCATGTGGCAGCAGGACTCCACAGATGCTAGACAGTGCTCCTTAGCTACATCTTCCTTGCTACCTTCCACAGCAGTGGTGGGTCTGAGCTGCTGTGCGGCTTTATCCTCAAGCAGTGCAACAGCAACACCCAGGTGTCAGCATCCCCATGATGTCAGACGCCACTGCCCTAACAAAGGCACTGCTGCCATGGGTGGCAGTTGATGTCATCTCAATGGAGCCCGTGTTCCTGCATCCAGCCACTCATGTTGGAGTTCACATACTTCTGTGATCCTCACTACTTCTCACCTTTGGCCACATCATGCTTCAGGCTCTGGAACCTTTCAGGTGAGCAGCAAATTTATCTACTAGGAACTGTGTCTATCTGCTTGGTGCTCTGTGGGAGGGTTCCCCAAGTTGTGCTCAAGCAGAGGGAGGTCAGATCTAGGGAGCAGTGCTGCCCAGCTGTTCAGCAGGAGCACAGCAGACATAACATTTCAAGGCCAACTTGGCTTTGCCTGTTTTTGACGCATGCGACAATTGCTTGCATCCTTGAGCTGCTTGCCTGCGTTCAACATCTGCGGCAGCTGAAACTCAAGAGACCAAGCAGCCAAAGGAGTTGGTTTCACAGACCCTAAAGTTACAAGAAATCCAGTTCCTTGAACAAAAAAGGTACTGCCTTTGAGAACTGTAGTTTATGTTGGTCTTGAGTTGTCAGGACTAGCTTAACTGTCAGCCCACAATCCTGGAACAGGCCTCATGGTACTTAATAGAATCAGTGCTTTCTCTGGTTTTGAGATTCTTTACTGAAGAACTTTAATGTTAGAATTAGATAAGCCAAAAAATCAAGTGACTCATGTGCAGGGGGAAAAAGGAGAGGTGGAGAGGGGGCAGATGGTGGTACTAAAGTGAGGGAAGCACCTCTTTTTTCACACCAGAGCAACATACCAATTTTGGAGTTTCTCAACTGCTTCACTGCTTCCTTGAAGGTAGCCCAGACAGCACAAGCACTAACTTGTTAGAGGACAGAGCCAGCAGGGCTGTCCTATCAGATGTGACCTTTTCCAGCAAACATGTAATCTCAGTTCCCTGCAAATCACCTCACTCACCAGAGTTTTCTAAACTGAATCCCTTTAGTACAAGGACTAGTTGTCTGCAGCACTTACAAGACAGGTAGGAGGCATGCCTGAAGGGGAAGAGAGTGACCCAAGGCAGGCAGCACTAAGGAAAATATAATGTGAGCAAGGAAAAATGAGAAAGCTGTTGTTTTACTCGGATGCTCTTTTGAAAACAAACAATAATCAGTGCACATAAGCACCCCTGTGAACTGTGATTTGGGTGGGGAGTAGGTAGCAGAGGTTCAGCTCAGTGGGTGGCCACAATGCGTAGAAAGGTTGCAGGGCCACCAAGTGAGACAAACATACAAAAGATAGTGGATGTGGCACTGCTTAGAAACACTGTGGCACCTGAGGGGAATCCCTGAGGAGAATTTGAGAGAAAGGGCCAGTATGCTCACAGCTGGGGACGGGGATTGTTTTGGTGTCAGCCTCCTGCTGAAAGCAGGAACAATAGACTCAGGAAGGAAAGAGTTTGTGAAGTCAAAGAGGAAGAATACGGGTCCTGGAAGAAGATTTCCAGCTGATATGCTAGAAGGGAAGTACAGAGAGGAAGGGATCATAGGATCTATAAATAGCTGGACCCAGTGAAAGCACTGGGTCTTTAAGAGGAGAGATTACAGGCCTCTGCTCTTAGCAGGGGAAAGGTGCTGACCACTAGAATGCTTCAGGAGAAAGGAAGTCCCAAGCTGCATCTGTAATTACTTTAAGCTGGGAGACTGACAACAAACCATGAACCTCTGCAAGTGGGATTATCAGACAGGCAGGATGACCCTGAGAATAAAATGGATGTGTTAAAAGCAACTAAGAAAGTGACTGGGCCTGAAACTTGTTACTTGTTCACTGCAGTCCTGTTGTTTAGTCAGGATGTCCCAACAAAGGAACTGTCAATCTTTTCCAGCTACCTCATTGTCTTCACCCCCTACTTTTCCTTCTTCATCTTGTCTAGAATCATTCTCTCACATTCATCCCATTTGCTCTTCTTTGGTGAGTTAACAGTTTCACTCCCTTGCAGCCCCCGAGCTTTCCTGCTCCTTGTCTGAAACTGGATGGCAGTACAGCACTTGATCACAGGTTAGTTTTTTCCTCCTTTCTTTTATTTTGGAGCAAGAGCCCTCTGAAGACACTTTGCCTTGTATCATCCACTCTTCCTGTTCTTGCACAATGGCTCCTGACAGCACCAGGTAGGTACTTTCCAGCCATTTTTTCCATAGGTGAAGCTGGAGTTGTGGTGGCACTGGCATTGTCTCAGTTTCAGCCCCACGAGCAACACGAAGCATTCTTACCAGTCTCTGTGCAGTTACCCTAGGAGCAATTACTTCTTCAAGAAGCAGTGTTTAGGCCCATTTTAACTCCAGCACTGCTTTCCTCACAAGCAGAGGGAAATTCTGCAGCAAGCAGATCTGAAAATGCAACTGAACAACCCAAAAGTGTGCAGTTTGCTTGCACTTCAGTCAGGTAGAACGTGCCTGAAATAGAGCTGAGCAACCAACAACTGAAGCCTTAGGCTAGACCTGTAAACAGAGCAGGAGCAAAGGGAATTCAGAATGACTTTTAACAGCTCTGGGATTGCTGTGCAGAACTGACACCTACTTGTACCTTCCTTGGTGTGGCAAACCAGCTACAAGGACGTGAAATGGGGAAATGGGATGGAAAGTAAACTGACGTACAAATGGCCCCAGGCTCCACACACGGCTGGGGGACTGCCACCAAAGGTTAGAGGCTAACCACAGCTCAGCTGCCATCACACAGCACAGCTGGCCCATGCACACTACAGGCCCTGAGGCAGATTCTGCCTACAGGACAGAAATGTTATTAGTGGGTTGGGCAAGCTCAGCTTCTGCTTTGGGGAAATGGGTGTGATCTGCCATAGAAAATCTTTAACAACTTCTTTCTAGAAAACTCCTTATCAACAGAAAATCCAAGCTTTGTACCATACTTGAAAAGTTCTTGGCGAGGAAGATGTCAGAACTAAATCAATTATCTGCCAAGCACAGCTGTGCAAGCTTTTCGCAAGCTTTTCACAAGGAAGGGCTTTATTTAAAAAAAAAATGGTGGCTAATGTCACTGTGTCACTATTAGGCAAAGAGACATCTGTATGCTTTCACAGATAGTATGGGGAAGAATAGGCTTTGCCAGCATTGTGGAATTCAGACACAATTAGTTCACATGTGCATCTCTCTGTTCATGCAAAACCACTCAAAAGCATGGATAACAAGTTTCAACTAGAGACTTTACACTTAAAAACCCCCTGCATTTGCTCCTGTGGAAAACTAAGTTTCCAGGCAGATCTATTACCTTAATACAAGACTACTAAGGGTTTTTGTTGTTGTTGTTGGTTTGTTTTCTTCCCTTGGGGAAGTTCTTTACACAGGCTTTTTCTAATCCATTTGGGTTTGGGTACCCAAACTAAGGACTAAGAGCTATACCAAAATTTATGAGCTACAGTAAAGCAGAGCAGTTTTTTATTCCTGTTTTCTCCTGTCCCTTAATTCAGCTCTTGGCAGCAGTTTGATGTGCAAACATTCTTTAGGAGACACATTCATATAATCTATGGTGTGTCATTATTTCTGGCAGCCTTCAAGCAGGCCATTATGATCAAGTGGTTGGGTTTTCCTAGGACAAACAAATCTGTTCAGACTTTGTCCTGTGGAATTTCAGGTTGTTTATATTTAACCAGGGGTCCTGCCTGCTGGCCATTTCTGTCCTCACCTACTGCCATCCCTAATTATAACCCAATCAGACTTAGAAGAATTGAAATTATGCTTCCACCTTTTCCTCTGTAACTCCCTTCTACATTTTTATTTTGACATTACTGAAAGGCAAGTATTAGTGTTTGGAAACATCGGGGCTAACAACATCAATTTCTCTTTTTCTCATAGCACAATTCAGGTCATTTCATCCTTGACTGTTTTTGTTTCTTATCTCGCAGGCCTGGCACGCATGCTGTCTTTGCATTCGCATGCATTAGACGAAAACAGCAAGTTACTCAGTTGGGGGTCAAGCAGCAGAACACATACAGTTACCATACAACACAGCTGCTACTTTACATGGTACATGGTACTAAAAGAAGAGATCAGATCTTTAAATGCAAATGCTTATGCACTGACATATTTGACTAGATTGTATAAGCTTAGTGATTTCTCCTAAAATTGGGCCTAGAGCAGTAGGTAAAGTCATAGCTGTATCCAAGCTTGTTTAATGGCTGTTGCTTGTTCTCTAACTACTTTTCTCTTTTCCTGAGAAGTGGTACTACCAATTCAGAGCCAACTGCCTATTTAGCCACATCCTTTTGGTTTCCATCCTTCTTTCCATACAGTGGTGAAATGGTGAAGGTGCAGTGCCAGAGATGCCTTGAACAAGATCTGTCCCAACAGCCACTGCATTTCTGCAGTCTCACAAGAGACTTAGACGGCATCCATCTCAGATCTTTATCCACAGCACACTATTTCAATGCATCCAGTATGCTGTGAAAGACTAATTTCCACTCCCTAGCAGGCACCAAGATCTTTGTAATGCTTTATAATTTCACCAACAGCATTTAAATCTGTTCATCCCCAACTTTTTTTTTAGTCCATGCTTGCTAAATACCAGTTTTGGTTTGCTAGCTGCTAAAGTTCTGTAGTCATTTAATCCCAAATGTTCACTTACAACTTCAGACTGATTCATTTCTTTTCCAAACAGCCCTACAGCTGTTAGCCCCTGTATGATTGGCAGAAGCTTGACTGAGGTTTTTTTGAGTCTAATTGAAAAATGACCTTCATGTGTGCCAACTCAGAATAAGCAGTACACTGCACAAGGCTACTGCAAGTTCACACTGTATCTGGTAGCATTTACTGCTGAGGCACAGTCTGAAGCCAGTTTTTACTATTCAGTTTTGTACCATGGATGTTTGCTTTTCCTTTTGCCTTTTCTTGTGGCCTTGGGATTACTGGGTATGAGACGTGCCCATCAGTCATGGGCATGTTCCTCATGTTTAGGCAAATCCTTATGTTTGAATAAGCAAATCTCTAAGATCAGGACTGCACTGGTTCAGCAGCCTCAAGATGCTTTCAGGAGCAGAAAGCAGGACAAAGGGAAAGGTTTGATAGGTGTTCCCTTGCTGAATGGTACTTAACTGGACATAAGCATACCTGATGCAGGCCAGAAAAAAAGCAATCCGATCTGCTGTCAGACACTTCCATTCACACCTTTGTCAGCATGAACAGCCAGATCATACAAGACAGAAGCCTT